TGTATTTATTAAGAAATTATTCCCTAGCAAACTAAACCAAGGATATGAGATAATTATCACAAATCATCTGATACCATCAGGTATTGTACTATGAAGGTTTAACTTAAGGGAGCTTGAAGGAATATATAGAGTATTTCTTGAGGTTTTGGCCAATACTGAAAAATTACCTTAGTTTCTTAAATTTTCTCAGTCCTATTTAGAGATCCTAGATGACTGAAACACTGTTGTCAAGTTTCATTTATACTTCAAAAACTGGAATATTTCTCTGACCCTGAACGGTGACCCTTTGGACTGTTGTCTGTCCCTAGTGCATGCCAGAGTTTCAAAACAGATAGGGGCATGTGAATAAAGTAAATCAAGTCTAGGAATTCCTGGGAAAGAGCAGAAGCGCAGTGCTTATAACAGTGAATAAAACTGGACAGGTCTTATTTTACAGTCCCAGAGGCAAAGGGGTATAGGTCAGTTCACATCCAGCCAGCTAATTCCCTGCCACAGAAACAGTTGTCTTGCTGGAAACGGTCCTTGGCCGATGTGAGTGGTTGAATTGGGCCCAAATGCTCTTTGGGGGAGGACTAGCTAACACAGGCTAAAACCATGTTAAATAATTCAACAGGAAGGATAATCATGTGCCCTTTCCTGAAGCCCATGACCTCGTCCTCTTTCGTTTAAGCAGCACAGACACAAACAGACAGCTTGGCAGAGGACAGAAATGGCTGCAGTGTTACTGTGACCGCACTCTGTTGCTTCTGGGGACTCAGGACTAAAAACGCTCCATTAGCAAAATATCCTGAACCTACATGAGCAACAAAATTTTAAATGCAACATCTTTATAAAGTAACAGTTCTGAAATAATTCCAGAAAATAATCCCATTGCTAAACTCCAACTCTAAAGTGCTATTTATTTCCTGTATAATTTTAATTTCTTGGATGATTGCTGTTAATAACAGTAACTCCTAAAATGTTTTTATAAGAGAAGTACTTACTGGCCAGATTCATTTCTACATTTCAAACCTCTGCAAATGAAATCAGCATGTCATTACATGTACAAAGCTTCATAACTTGCAGCCACAGAGCTTCTGTGAATCCAAGGACTGATCATCAAATTTGGCTTCGAAAATGTGAGACCTAAATCAAGACATTTGAAAGTTATACTTAATGCATTTCCCAGTGGTAGCAAGTGTCATACCTGCAGGGCTATTTACTTCTAACCCTCACTGAAGACTTTATCTTTTCAGTAGCCCAATTCATGTCAATGTCATGATTACAGGGACCAGGACACAGAAAGAGGGTTTTTCTGGTCATTAAGACATTTTCAACCAAATAATGGCAATATGGCTTCATTCTCTTCTATTCTGCAACTGTGACAAGGACACAGATGTCTCCAGAGCTGTCACTGCCAAAAGATAAAATCTTAAAATGAAGTGGAAAAAATCCTTAGTCCCCAAACTTGATAAAAGGCCAGTTCACTTCTGCCTGCTGAAATCTAAAGTATGTTTGTTGAATCTGGCAGCCTGACTGGTGTTTGTTATGTTTTTCTGTCCCTGTTCCTGTTGCAGTCCTTGGATATATTTTTTTTTGCATACATATTTTTCCCGGTGCGTGGCCCTGGTGAACCAAGACCACTAATTTTCTATATTGCAATCTAGTACTACCTGGCACAAGTTCAGTTTTGCAATCATGTCACCCTGGCTGTTAGTATGGTGCACCTTTAATAGGCTATTTTAGATCAGCAGTTTAAGGGCTTCTGGTTGTTTCTAGCTCATGAGGTAATAATCTTAGGGAAAGGAAACACCAAACTTCCCCACATATTCTTACCCACAGTCTTCAGCTGCAGTCATACAGATGCACTGAGATCCAACCTGACTTGTCCAAAATTATAATTATCCCTTGAGCTCCCCTGAAAGACAGCAGGAGGTGGCAGGCAACAATCATTGAAGCTCCTGGGGGGAGCACTGATGGGTTTCAAAGCAGTCAGAGCCTTCCTCAACCTTGCACTCCGCAGCGTGGCTGGCAGCATATTCAGTGGCTTGTTTCTGGAGAGAGACTGTGGTAGTGGTACATATGCCACTTGCTTATTACAACCTGCATCACCCTGACTGCATGCGCATTGTAAACATTAATTATGGAAATTGGGACAAAAAAAAAAAAAAAACCAAGGGGTTTTAACCAGTTATGGTTTATTCTGCTGTAAGTTTCAATTGTGTCTACCCGAGCTGATTTCTGGGAACAATTCTTCTAATTTCTGCTCAGCTGTTAATTGCAGATCTCTTTCTGGCCTGGTAATCTGAAGCTACAGAGCATCTGCTTGCAGTGCAGTGTCAGAAAGCCTTCCTGAGATACAAATAAACAAACAGTGAGCTGAGGAAACAGCAGATAATCAGCTTTATTTTCTTCCTGAGTGGGTTTTAACACATGGGTCACATTGACCGGGGCCTGAAGCCTCCGAGACAGCATTTGACAAGACCTACTTGTTCATCAGGGGCCTGAAATTCCCAGTTGGTGCCCAGTTATCAGCAATCACTCGTGTGTGATAGCTTTTGTAGTTGATTTGTCTGAAAAGTACAATAACACCAGGGGAAAACTAAAGCTCTCTTATCAGCTGTGCTATTTACACTACGCTCACAAAAGTATCTAATAAAAGAGGAAGACTGTTTTTGTTATTTTAGCAAGATCTCAGCAGCAGAGAGCAGTGGAGGGGAAAGGGGAAAAAGTCCCTGGCAGCTGGGTTTTATGCCCAGTAAAGAAAATATCATTAGAAGTTTGTACTTGCTGACATGTTTATGACTTCTAGCTAAATGTGCACTTCTTTATCTTCCTGTCAGGGTGCTGCAGGGCCCGGGGGTTCCCTGGGGACCCCTAGGCCTGTCCCACCCCACACCCAGGGAGCTGGGCAGCCCCAGCCCTGGGCACTCCCTGGGGATGGGGACAGACCAAGGCCAGGCAGGGACACTGGCCCATGGGCAGGGACCCCAATCAGCAAGGTCCATGGCCAGGCAGAGCAGTGCCTGATGGCCACAGGGGGCTGGAATCAGGTCCTGGGCCATGGGCAGGGTGGGGAAGGCCCATGGGAAGCTGATCTGGGCCATAAGTGTGGCTGGTGCCCTCAGGCCCTGACACCTGTATGCCTTATGTGCTCCAGGTAAATGATTTCATCAGCTAAGGGTTATGCTCAGTGAAAGGTGCTACTACCCAGCAAGTTATAGAATTAAGAACTTCCAAAAACAAAATGGAGATTTTAGCGTACCTCTCTACAGTAATTTCTTGTCTTTCTTTAAGCTCATTTGTGCGCAGCTGAAGACACTTGACTTTCAATTTAAAATGAAAAGGAGTTCTAGAAGAGATAATAATAATAATAATAATAAAAAGGCAACCAGGTTTCATCTAAAAACCAACAGGTTAAAATCAAGTCCCCTCTGCTCTGGGTTTGGTTACTGCAGGTCCTGGAACTGGGTCCCAAGCCCCGTTGGGTAATGGGCAGGGAACAATGCACTACAACCACCTTGTCCCCGGTTTGCCAGTGTCTGGCTGTGTCTCATACAGACACATTCATCTCTTTCACCAACACATGAATAAAACTTAGTGATTTCTGGTTCACACAGAGTGCAATGATATGGAAGCACAGGCACCTCATTTGGTGCTCAGCACTGTTTTGGGAGCCAGTCTCTAACCCTGAGTTATCACACTGCTGAGCCCCACAATAGCTTTGGTCCTTTGTGGATGCAGCCAGTTATTCCTGAAAAGTGGCAATATAAATGCCACTGATCTGGAAGACAAATAATCCAGTGTTGGAAATGAAATGTTAGGAGTATATATAAGTATATTTATGTTTTAAAAATATATTTATATTCATTTTTTAAAATAGGATAGGATTAACTTTATCCAATTTTATATATGTATAGCATAAATACTCATATTTGGCCTAGTCACCCCCCAGCTCCCTTCAAAGTCAACAGAGGAAAACAGGCACTTTTAGGATATGACTCACCCAGACTGTTTTTAGATGTCTACCTAAAAAATCCTGTCCTCTAAGGTACTGTTTCTCTCCACTGTCTAAAAGGACAGCCAAAGGTGATTATCTTGGATGCAGACATACACCTTTAGGGGCATCTTACTCCCAGTAACCAAGGAAGGAAGATCAGCTTACCCAAACCCCTCTGCATTGGAAATCTTCACACCTACGCACACATGAACACACAGAGCCTTGGGAGCCAGTTGAAAGACCCCCTGTAGTAAAATTGACACCTCTAAGCAGAGGGTTTATTAAATCTAGTTAAGTTTTAACTTATAAACAATGTTATTTGTATCACCTCTATCCCATAACACTCCACCGGCAGAGCTGAGTCAGTTCTATTACAGATATAGCTGAAGACTCCCTTTTCTGAAACAACTAGGCAAAGCCTACTGCTCAGGGATCTCTGGGTGAGGAGAAATGTGATGGACCTGTTCCTCTGAATACATAGACTGAATATATTGAGCTGGACTTATCATGAATGCCACAAACTATGCTGCTGCTGGAGATGCATCCTTTCACCCGCTGGAGTGCAAGCCCAGGAGTGCGTTGGACAGCAGTGTGCTCTGCAGGAACCCAGTGGGAAAAAGCTGGCTGAGACCACCTCTGGTTTATCACTCACTGGGAAAGTGACACTAGCACAATCTCTGGTACTCATCTTCTACCGTGCTCACTGTATCTAGCAACTCTGCATTTAATAGTCATAGTCATATCTTGCACCAAATTCTTAAATTAAGAGATGTTTACGTCTCACACAGCAGCTGCAATAAAGACATTCAGGACTCACACATTTAATACAAGATTTTTTTTCTTTTCTCATAGCTCCAACAGGAACCAGTAGTTGCTGTAACTAAGCAGTGGCTCATTGGCAAAAGTTTGGTGGTTGATATTTATACCTATATATCTACCTGATCTTCAAACCTTGAAGCAAACCTAGGATTACCCTTTCCTGAGGTTTCAAAAGGATAAAAATTATAACAGATGTTACATATATATGTACAGTTCTCTTCTATATTTGGTCAAATTTTGCATTCTACATTACAATTACAAAAACCATTTACACAGAAGCCCACAAAAGCAGCTGCTAATTGTGCAGCCATCGAATTGTGCCTCAGCTGTCTCAATGTGGTAAATATACTCTACGTACACTTCACATACTCTTGTGCTAGTGAAAAATTAGATATGCTAGGATGTTGCATGGAACTTTGCGTCAGTGGAAAGGCTCATTTTATTTATTTTCAATAATGGCTCCTCTCTGACGTTAAGAACAAATAGATGAGATTTTTCTGTGAAGAAGCTGCATTACCGAGAAAACAGTCCTCCAAGAATTGGTAAGGTCTCTGTGACCCTGGTTACCCTGAGAAACTCAGTTCAGGTTTGCTTCATCTTCTCCAATTATATTTTATAACTCAAGGCAATGATCCATCAAGACAGATAACAGTACTTAGAGCTTACAATGGCAAAGGAGGGACAGCATTTCCTGTCACCATTGAATAAGAAAACTCTATCATTACCTAGTATAAGTTATCACAGTAGAAGAGGCAAGCTTATTGAAGAAAAAGATAGCTGTTCCAGGAAACATTAAAAGCTGCAGTTTTTGATGTGAGAGTTGTGGACGCCAGTGACAGAGCACAGCAGCAAACCCAAAGTCCTTGTGAGTGCAGTCCTGACCCTACTGAAGCCAGCAGCAAAACTCCCACTAATTTCAGCAAGATGAAGATATCCACTGGATTCAGCTTATGGCTGAATCACCACCTTATAATGTCTCCACGCTGTTCCATAATGCTCAACTGTAAAATAGAAAACATGGGAGTTATCCCCATCAGCAAGAGAGATCAATGCAAGTCTTAATGGAAGTGCTTGCACAGCATACAGCCGCTCTGAGACCAGAGGTGCTAGAGAAATGAGGGCAGCCAGGGAGCTCTCAGCTACCTTCTGTATAACAGGAAATAACTTCATATGGCAATTTATCATGGTAAGAAGTGTCAGGGAAAAAAAATCCACCTATCAGAAACATTGCTAGACAGTCACACTGGAATCAGAGTCCTGTAATAAAAAGCTAGTATGAAGGTTAGAGGGTCATGAACAAGATATCTTCATTGCTTGTTGAGGGTGCAGAAGGCACACACAGCCCTTCTGAGTGATTATTCCGCCCCAGAATGCAACCATCAAGAAGAAATAAGGGCACTAAAAAACAATCTGGGGACAATCAAATTTGCAACCCTCTCCTAGACCATCACCAGCATATTGCCATATGTCTTCAGCTGGAGGAAAGAGCTATAGAACTACAAAGGTAAATCTCCCTCAGTTTTTTATAATTTTTATTACACATTTTAAGCAAGAAACCATAATGCTTTATTGTGTTTAGCAGCAAGATTAATTGGTTTTGTTTGTTTGTTTGTTTGTTTGTTTGTTTTTTTCAGTGAGCTGCATCCAGTTGAGACTAGCTGCTGATTTATGGAACTTGGCAACATCCCAAATATAGAGGTTTGAGACCTCCCTGGAGGCAAAATAACCATTTCACATCCAGCCCACTCCCAGTTCCCAAGTGACTCTTCCCAGCCCCTGGGGAGATATGACACTTATACATAGGGCAGGTTATTTACCAATGGACACTTCTCATGCTTTTTTCCTGACTTTCATTGTTCTGCTGACTACTGGTGGAAAAAAAGTGACTTTCATCATTCTCATTCCTGGAAGGCAGGTTTCTAATCCTCAGTTTTGTAAAATTCTGAGTGTTGGAAGGGGAAATTCTAACTGTAACTGCTCAGCACTGGTAATTTGCGACCAAGGAATACTCTGGCACAGAGGGCAAGAAGTCCCAACTATAAAAAGGTGTTAAAGCAGCTGGAATCAGAAATGCTAGAGAAGGAAGAACTCCTTGTAAGGAAGTGACGTTTCCCTTGGTGATGAGATAAGAGATAGCCTCAGCATTGTCTTGTAGCCATACTGGAATGGTAGCAGTCAGGGGCCCAAGCTCAAGGGCCACATTTGGGCAGCAGAGCTGGGCTGGGGGATGGACCCGCAACCCAGGTGAGGTGCCCTGTGAAACTGCTCTCATGATTGGTGGTGGTTCAAGTGTATATAAGGAATTTGCTTCTAACACGTTTTTGCAGACTCCATGTAGAACTGTGTTCATTAAATTTTTCTTTTATATTTAAGAACAAACCTGTACTTAATGAATCTCAAGAGGTACCATAAATATTTCCCAACAGTGTCTAAGGCTCAAAATCAGCAAACCAACCCAGAAAGCAAATGCTTCCTTCCTTCAGTTACTCTGATTGAAAATCACATAATTTTGAAGACTTCACTCAATCATTGCATATTTGTGGTTTTCAGTATTTTGTATTGCTTCCTGAATTTGTACCATGACTGCCTGTACAGGTAGCCTTCTTCAGGACCCTGTTATGTGTCAGAGGGAATGTGCGATGATGCTGAAGTGCTTGGTCTGCCTCCCTGGATGATACAGCTTGTATTCAGCCAGTGAGACAACCAGGGTGCACAGAAGTCACAAGCACTGGGATAAAGCCACAAGTGACTGAGGAAATTAAAAGTCTCATCCAGCATCAGGGGAGACCAGAGGCAATGCTCCTCTTTCTACCTTCTCATCTGCTCCCTTCCCTCCCTCTGCACATGCAGAGTTACCAGTAATGAGAGAAGTCCCTATACCCCATACTCCAGGTAATTTTCAGACCAAAAAAAGCTCACTACTACTCTTCTTTCAAAAATCTGTTGAGTGAGCTCTATTTTTTTTTTTTCTTAATCTTTTGGGGTTTATTTATTTGTCCTTTCATAACCAGCCAAGTTTTTCCCAGGATGGTTTAGCCTGTGCATGGTGGGATGATCATGGTGGCTGCCAGGAGAGCTGCCAGGTTATGCCAGGCAGGTCCCCTGCCCCAGCACTTCCAGTTTGATGCCAGCACACTTCATGGCTGCCAGTATGCAATGATTGACTGTTCTCCTCCTCCCTGTCGACTCTATTTGGATGCAGTGAAGGCGGTTCTCTTCTTTGGGGCACTGGTAGGGCATCAGGCAGAGGCACTGGGTCTGTGTCCCTGGGAATGAACATGTTGGAATTTTAGCTGCAAATGTCATGACTAAAAATATATTTTATAGTTTGACAACATTTCAAAGTCCAACAGGGAAAAACACTATTGGATGTTTGCAATACATTATCTACAAAAAGTCTATAGTGCATAAACTAGATGGCAGGGTATTAGGAATAGAGACAAAAGCAGCTTTAAATATTAGGTTTTGCAGCAGTGGCCCATATAGGGATGGAAATGAATTATCTAACTATTTTTATCCACTGTTTTTCCCTGAGCTTTCTTCTAAACAAAAAGATATTAAGATGACTTTCTGTTCCCAATTATCCTTGCACACAATGTTGCTGTGAAATGGAGTCTTAAGGTCCATTTTGTGTCAGCTCCTATTTCATTAAAGCTCCCTTTATGAATGCTAAGCTACCTGCTGCTGGCCTGTGGTAAACCTCAGTCCTGCCAGTTATTTCATTACCCATTTCTGATCTAATCAGATTCTGACTCTTTATATTCTTTCCCAGAAATTCCCTAGGCAGGAAACTAAGTTCCTGCCTTTCCTTTCTTAAAACATATGAAAAATCTGTGTTTTCCTCCATTTAGCTGCTTCCACATGACACTGCAGTATCTTCTGCCTTTGTGTTGATGTCAACTACTCGTTCTTAGGTAAACCAAAACTTCTATTTCCTAAATGTTTGTTCATACTCATGAGAAAGATTACTTCAGTAGAGATGGTGAGGACAAAAGTCCAATTCAAACATCTTGAGCACCACAATGAAAACTTATTTTACTTAATGTATTTTTCTCCTCTCTTTCCTATTTTTCCTCATGTAACAAGGCTGCTCTGTAGGCTTTTGAGAGAAAAACACAGAGATGCTGACACAGGATCCAGCTTTAAGCCACTTCCACACTGGGAGCAGATCTCGGCTTCTTAGGAGCTCTGGAATAAATAAGCCTGATGTGTTTTTAAATCATAACTACCTTCCCACGAGCCCAAGGTGCCTAGAGGCTCCACCACAGCATGTCCCTCAAGGGACACACCTGGTCATTCCCTCTGCTTCAGCCCTACAAGGAACAACATCTCATGTGGTAGTTTTACAGCCAACTACTTCAAAACCTGTACTGCAGAAATCTTGCATCTTCCAAATGGGGTTTTAGGATTGCTGCACGCTGCCGTTGCTTTGTTTATCATAAGTAGACAAGGTGTGAGAGGGATCATACTTGTCTCTGGAAGCAAGTGAAGGAATGAGCACGGTTGCTGCTCAGCCTTTTCCTGGCAAGCTCTTGATGTGTGCAGAGCCAGCCAGCACCTCAGACATTTACAGGAAAACCCACCGCTCTTATCACGAAGTTACACAGTAAATAGCCAAGTTGCACAACAGTGTTCATAAAATAATCCTCTTAGGGATTTCACCAGCTTAGCTAGTTCATTAAAACTCTTAACAAAACACAGTTTTCATATATAGGTATTTGCAAATTTTACCATTAAAATCCCATTAAGCCTAATGGCTCCAGTCTTGTTTTTTAAGTAGTATCATAATTTAATTCCATAATTTAATTACATGCTATAGAGGGTGTGGCCCACATTAACTCCTGAAGTACAAAACTAGTGGTTATAGTAGCCTTACAGGGAATGGGCAATAACATTGCTGAATAGATTTTTGTGATTAAAGATTAAAATATTAATTCTCTGAAAAACTTCCATTAATCTCCAGGTTCCTTATGTGCCTTACTAATGAAAAGTGGCAATGCTACACAGCTTGTGCCTAAGAGAAAAAGGCACATATCTAAGTGTAATGCTTGGTAGCAGGGACATGGAACTGACCACACTTCCACACTCCTTTCACCATAAACTGCTCACATGGATAGCAATGACTGTAAATTCTATTCTTGAAGCGGTAAAGGAGTCAGCACATTTTATTTTTAGATCCAAAGAGCTGGAAAAATCCCACCATTCCAAAGTCATACCTGGACACTCCTCCCAGTCATAGCAGATGTCATAGCCACAGGGCACTTTCTTCAAGCTATTTGTAGAGAGCTTTGCCCTTTCAATAGCCCAGTCTAAGTTGGAATTACCATGGCAAGGGCCAGCATGCAAGAAATGAAATGACTGCTCTCCAAGGCACATTTCAGCTGAATACTGACAGCTGGTCTTGGTCACATTCTGTTCAGAAACAACATGTAGCACACAGATGTCTTCTGAGTAGTGGCTGCCCCAAGGAAAAAAGAAAAAGAAATATCAGGCTCTGGAACAAATCCATGCCTCTAAACACTCCATCAGCATTGGATAAAACACAGCAAATCCATGGCCAGGTTGGATATCTGTCTAAAGACCTAAGGCTGTTCGAGCTACTGCAGGACCTGGACCAGATACAGCATAGTGAGATGAGGAAGCTTTGGTCCCGTCCAACAGATGGGAGGTGAAGAACATGTGCCTGCACAGGAAAACAGGAGGTGCTGTTATCTCCACAAGCTGTCTGAAATTTCCACAGGCCCTGAGGTCCCTCATCTGAGTTAATGCAGCCCTGCAGCTGTGTGCAAGTCTGCCTCTGAGGTACAGTTAGTTTGGGACCAATGGCAGGCAAACTCGGTCAAGCTGCTTGTAGTTTCTTCCTGTATTGCTCTTGTTTCCCAAGTGGATTATTCTCAGTAAGTGCAGCCATGTCCCAGCAGCATCAAAAGAGATTAGTCTTTTCCCAAAGTGAGGGAGCAATACAGCTTACCTTTTTTATACTCCTGAGTTAAGCATACAGTTTTAGTTAACAAAACCTCTCTAGTTTTCAGATGATTTGGCCTATGTACTTTTGGCAATGTCTATCACCCTCTGAACATGCTTTCTCTACCCAAGGACTCTTGAGAGAGAAGTTACCTGATTATTTGCATGTTGGCATGAATGAGATAAATTCCATGACAAAGGACTTGCCTGTGATCCCTGTAGTGGAACGTGTGTTAATCGCAGCTCTATAACTGCCCAGCTCATATTCAATCTGTGCTCATCTCTCCTATCTCCTTCCCTAAACCACACCTCTACCCTGGCCAGCCATTTACTAAAAATCCTCTAGAATAACGCTCTATTCACTTGAAGGCTTAGTAGTCTGTGCAGGTCATGTTGTGTAAAGAGACACTAAATCCAAGTCTTACGTATTTTCATATGTTCTGGAGACCAAAACATACAGTGTATTTTGCAGCATGTTCATCTGAAAAAGGTGAACCTCAAACACGGGAAGCATGACCTATTATAGCAAGGTGATGACAGTGAAAATATAGAAATTAGAGAAATAAAGAGAAGAAAGGGAAGAGTTGGGATCTCTAGTAGCAGATGGTAATGTAGATCAGAAGGAAGAGCCACGGTGTGCTGTTTGGATAATGTCATTGTGCATTTATTTTGTATGTTATAAATGGGGCTGTAATTTGGATACAGAGGTATAGCTGGCTGATATCTGAACAGAGAGTAGCCCTGAGTTGTTATTGCCTTTTGTTACTCTTCCTGGTTTATGTCACAGTGGACTTTTGGTCTATCAGTGATAAAACTTTGACTTTTCTTTTTCTAATTAAAGTACTTAACTTACCCACAATCTTCTTCTGGAGACATACAAACACACTGAGATCCAACCTGCTTTTGTCCTGGATTGCAAACACCTCTGATTTTATTTTTCATATCTGAAACAAAAAAGTGAGAGTTACTATAACTAGTAACAAAATGAACAGAAATATCTTAGACTCCTGCTGTAAAAACTAAAATGGATTTGTTTCCATTTATGGCATATTTCTCTCTTCAAAAGCTGCTGTGGTTTGGATGCACACAAGTGTACACCAGTCTTTGCAAAAATCTCTGGAAAACCCTGTACAAGAAGAGAAGCTGAAGTTTCAGTCGAATACATTCTCCTACTTTGCTTTCATAAAGCCTTGCTAATACAGCTAGAGTTTGTTCTGTTTTGTTTTTAAGAAAACAGTTTTGGTATCTCAGTTTCATAATTAAAATGTACAGTACTTTGCACCCCAAAATTCTGAACTTAATAAAGAAGTTTGGGGCTGAAACTGTATGGCGCTGTGATAGGCACAAAATAAAACCAAAATTAGTGTACAGTTGCTATATGCCTTAAAACCAGCCATCTGCCTCCTAGTTCTATGTAGCTAAAATAATCTGTGCTGTTAATTCCAGCAGTATAGAAACAGTAGAATATCTCCAGACATACTAACCTTTTTCACATGTAATAGATCTCAAAATAGGAGGTTTCCAGGACAGGTCTTTCCCACAGGTATATTGTGTTTGACCAGTGACTATAAATCCAGCTGGGCAGGTCATCTTCACGGTTTCACCAATGTTGTACTGTTGCTTAAATGGGGACATTGTGACACTGTCAGATGCTGGTGGCCTGAGGCATACCGAGGCTATAAAAACAAGAAAAAAGTATAATTCTTGTTGTTTTTTTGGTGTGCAGATATTTACATCAATTCAAAATCTTCATGTGAAGAGCCATAAAAACACTCATTAACACTGAACTTTTGATTGACATTCAAAACTAGTAAATATTTAACGTAATTAAGTCTAGAAATTTTTAGTCCAGTCTTTAAAAATATTTTCAATCAATACCTAAATAATTATAATGTATTTCTAATGTATACTAGTATGAGTAATTTAGTCTTACAGTTTAAAAATAATAAGAATGATATTAAAAACTTATTTTAATTTTTCTTTTGTAAATAAAGCTATTAACCAAACAATTAAAATTAATAACAATAGAAAGCTCATAAGTATATTCAGATAAATTTTTTTGACAAAATTAACACTTGATCAATGAAATCACACTGAGTTCTAGAAAACTACTGGAATCTCCCCTGTTAGCAAACCCAGGTCAGTTCTGATCCTTAATTCTTAATTGGACTATAAATACTTCAAGGCATTGATTTATTATGGGGATTTTCAAGGCAGCCTGGGAGGATGGTGGTGATTAGAGACACATCATCCATTTAGAATAAAAAAATTGTAGACAGATTCCTCTAAGAATGTTTAATTCAGCATAGCTGTCATCAACTTAAAGATATCTATGTAGGTCTGGAAGAAGAAATGAGTCCTTCTGTTAAAGATATTTAAAACTAGACAAGAGAAGGACCTCATGGCATCCATCTGAGAGTTTTCTAAAGCACCAGATATTACAATACCCTTACAAAAAAACATAGTAACACTTCTGAATTGAAAGAGGAGTGATGTAGTGACTCAGTAGGTTTTTGCCATCTCTACATGAAATACCTTCTTAAAATACTATCTTTTCAGATGTCCTTACAGATTCTTCTGTTAAAACCTGTATTAAAATATATTTTGTGTGTTTTCCTTCCATGTCTGTTTTGTTGCTAGACTAAATTAGTTTTTACTTTCTTACGTTGACATTCAACAGGTTGCTGCATCCAGGTTTGATCTGGCAGACACCGAAGGAATTGATAGCCACTGAGGACATGACCACTCACACAGGCAATTTCAGCTTCTTCCCCCACAGCATACTGGTTCTTTTCATTCTACAAAAAAGAAACCAAAAAGCCCTTCAAAAATCTATGGTAATGAACCTGGGCATTGTCAAAAGAAACAATGAAAAAAGCCTGATGATATTACGTGATGAATGCATGCTTTTCCTACTTTGAAATATGAGTCATCCACTCACATATATAATTATATGTTTGTTCAGCTACACTGACTGAAGTTATGGTTAAAATACAAGGATTCAAGGACCACTGTTTGAAATGGATTTTACCTTGCTTTTGTTTCAGTTGCTGGTGAATTTTGGTGGACTAGAGTCCCACAGCACGCCACATATACAGCAATATGCTCACTAGCACAGTAGCTAGCTTGGGTATCAGGCACAGGTAGCAAAGGAGCTGTAAAATTTCCCAGCTCTGCAACTTGTATATTTTCCTTCTGTATCACTCATTTTTTGTGCTCACCCTGATAAAGCCATTTTCTGGTGGGTCTGGCCTGGAGCATCCAGACTCAGGTTCATCAATTAAGACATCCTCTTCTCTCCTGGCTTCATCATCATTTATACAAGGAGCACCTCTGAAAAGTAAAAATTTGCTGGTGTGGATGCATCTTAAGCATTGGTGCCACCAAATAACAATGGCAGAATGTCAGGAGCTTTGGACAGGAATGCTGTAAAAGTGTCCCACCCCCAACCCCCATGGTGAAAAAACCTTATTCTATTAAATAAAACACAGAGAACATCAAAAGCTGCAGGTGTTGGTAGGAAGGAGATTGTGAGAGCACTAGAAAAGTGATAGATACAATCTATCAGCAATACAAGAACTACAATTTCTATTGACATAACTCACGAAATACTTTTACAGAGTAAGAAAAAAGGCAAAGAGCAGTGTATGGAGAAAGTCTCTAAGGGGTCCATGTAATTTCGTTGGGTTTAAGATAGCGTAGTCAAAACCCACCTGTTGTGATCAGGCAATGGTTAAAGGACGCTGGTCTCTGTGAGTGTGGAGCTGTACAGCCTGTGGTGTCTAACTGAGATGAGTAACAAAGAACTGTGGAGCCCATTGCTTTTAATCCTCTCCTGTCTGGTCCAGAATCTCCTCTGTAGTCATTACAGCAGGAATGATAAGTGTCCTGCTTCAGCTTTTTGTTCTATTAGAAAAACTGAATCTGTACAAAGCCTTGCTCTTGAAGATGCAAGAAACTGAGTTTGGGGTTTGAGTTAGGTTTTTAAGTTGAAACCATACAAAGCCAGAATATCAGATGTACTCAAGGCAGGAATATTAAAAACTTGGTAGTTTCAGTGGAATCCTCTCTGAAACTGAGTTCAGACATAAACCTCAAAGAGAAGAGGATGTGATATTAAAAATCCAGAAACTGTGAACTCCCATGAACGAAAGCAGATGAGTTCTCCATGACTTTGGACAAGAAGCTATGCAAAGAAATGTAAGAGATCTACAGGCATGCTTTAGTATGTAATTCATCAGCCATTTTCTAAGAATAATCTATGAATAAATCCAAACTTGAAGCAAGTTGTGAAGATTTTCAGACATTTTCTTCTCCCGGCCCCACTCAGAAATTGGGACAGGACAGTTGTCTGCTGTTTCTCCTTGGTAGTGACAAAGCCATTCTGGAGGTCTCATTAATTCTGCCTCATGGCTATGGAGATATTTTGATCTACCATCTTACCTGCCCACGAACACAGAGACATAACAGTCCTCCTCTTCTTCCCGTTCACCTTCACAGGGCTTCCCACCATTCATCGAGGAGGGGTTATTACATTCCCGGGTCCTTCTCCTTTTGAAGGAAGCATCACATGAACTCCATTCAGACCAGCAACCCCAGTGACCATCTACAGCAACTGCAAGAAATAAAAGAAATCTCTTCTTTTCGTAGATCTGTTGCATACATAGTATTTCTCTTAAGACCACATACAAGATGGATGGTGATAAATTCATAATAGCCGTTTTCAGAGGACTTAAAATCGCTACTGTTAAGGGAACAGATGGTATCTAGAATGTGAAGTTTTGCAGAGATGGTCAGTCAAATTCCAACTGCTTCATGAAAACCTAAAATATACCTTCCTTTCTAGTTTTGATTGCAAGTAGCATTCAAACCCAGAAGCAGCTTATTTTCTACTTCTGTTTCACACACAGATGTTTGAGTTTTCATGGTGCTGACAACCTTTTTAGATATCTCAGTATTTACTGAGTTATTAAATGAATCTGAGCTCTAACACTACATCTAAATCCCAAATCTACATTCCATGCAAGCTAAATTAAAACACTATGGTCTTTTCTTAACCCCTGGGGTATATTTTCTGTGCCACCATGAAGCACATATAAAAAATTTTATTTACACACCCTTTCTTTTCCGCATGAAATACACTTTCTACATTCATGTCTATCTCCATATCTTCTATTGTTTATTTCTTTCAAAGTATTTCTTCATCTGGGTCAAATAATGAGACATGTAGCCACATAAGTGACTTTCCCTTCTATCCCCTTTTGGTACTGAAATAAAAGTATATGTAATAATAAATATAATACTGTAAGCCTCTGCTGTTTCCCACAGGTAAGTCATTAGTTTCGATTTATTCAAAAACCAGTTTGCATGAAATTGTTCTTTAAATTCTTCAGAATTATTATTATGTTCCCTCTCCTTAAGAGAACTGAGTTTTCATTCTACATTGTAATTAACAATTTTTATCTCTGTTAGCCATTTATTCTTAAGCATAATAAGCTATAGGGAAAACTAAGGAATGGATTTCTTGATTTTTTGCATCAATTATCTTTGATGTTGTCTTCATCCTTATGGCTGAACAGATCGTTTCCTGTTATCTTAATTATGTAGCTAAGGAATCTTTTACCATGTCTTACAATTTCTTCTGAGCCATGCCTACTCATTTTGATTTTTTATTTTTAATCCTACCTTTATTCTTATACTTTCTGACCATCACCATGTGCTAAGAAGTGCTATGGATTTAGTAAGCGAAGGTTATGGCATGTTCATCTTTGACAAAGAGATACCAGAAGGACCATATTTACATCATGACAGTATCACCCCAAATACCTGATTTGTAACCCGGAGCTCGTGTCTCACAGTTTTTGCCGTAGGTGCCAGCCTGGCACAGGCAGAGGCACTCCGTCCTGGAAAGGACAGGCCTGCCATTGTTGGGGCATGGGGCACACTGGCAAGGGTCAAACCTGCCCGCATATTCTCTCAGGGCTCTCCTGAGGTTGAGACGTTTGGTCACAGCACATGGCACGTTCTTCACCAAATCCACAATGGGCGACACCTGGTAGACAGATGTTCAGTAAGCATTTACCTAGACACAGCAGGGTCCTTCTGGGGGTAGCTGTAGGCTTTTAAAGGCACTAGAGCCTACATATGAAGCTATATCACAGGAGTCAGGCATTTTGGAAGTTATAGATACTTTAAGGGAGCATGATAGTGCTATACATCTATATTATCCTGCTTGTATTGCTTTTATTTCCCCAATTTAAGGCTCCATGAGCCAGTGGAAAACCAACCAAGTGGGGTACCATGTCTAAAAATTCAGGACGCCACAAATGATGTGCGCTTTGCTCACATCCTGCCTCTACCATGTGAGATATCCTGTCGTGGTTTGAACCTGGCCAGCAGCCGAACACCACACAACCGCTCTCTCACCCTCCCTTCCTCCTGCCCAGGGGATGGGGGAGGGAATTGGAGGGGTAAAGGGAGACTTGTAGGTTGAGATAAAAGCAGTTCAATAATTGTAATAAAATATAACAATAACACTAATAGAAAGTACAAATGGGTATGCACAATGTGATTGCTCACCACCTACTGACCAATACCCAGCCCATTCATCAACAGCGATCCCAAAATGCCAAGATCTCACAGTCTCAATCTCAGAAGCGAGAGAGAACCTCCTCCTTCCCAGCTGCCCCTCCTTTATATACAGAGCATGATGTTGCATGATATGGAATATTTCACTGGTCAATTTGTGTCTGATGCTCTGGCCATGCTCCCTCCCAACTCCTTGTGCACCTGCGCACAGGCAGGACAAAGGGAGTTGGAGAGTCCTTGAACTTTTAGGAACAACAAAAGACATCAGTGTATTACCAGCATCCTTCTCCTACCAAACCTCATACTGAACCCAGAACACAGCCCTAATCTAGCTACTAAGAAGAAAAAATAACTCTATCCCAGCCAAAACCAGGACACATGCCTACACTGCCTTCAGGAGCTCAACAGCTGCAGTGGGAGAAAGATCACTGCGTGCTGTGTTCAGGCAGGTTTTGCTGTTTGCCCTGAGCCCTCTGTGGCTGCTGCTGAGCGGCTGTGTGCCAGGCAGGGAGGGAAGCAGCTCGGTGCATTCACAACAGTGCTGGCATGCTGCATTAAATGAGCAGGATGGAGATACCAGGGCATTGATGTTTTGTTTCAGTTTAACTCTATGCCATACTTTGCAACATTGGCCTGACAAGGGAAAATACAGGGAAAACAGTGTTCCCAGAACCATGCACTGCTTTCCTGCACAGTAACTAACCCCTGCCCATGCCTGAGCTCCTGCTGGTACCGGGTAATTCACTCACATTCCTCCTTCTCCCTCCCACTGTCCATGGATGATGCAAACCTAGTGTGGCTTATAAGCCAACATGCACAAGAAGTAGTTCTAATAAATGTTTTATATGTTTTTGTTATGCCCATATGTATGTGCATTCATGTCATACACACCATCATCCCGATTTAAAAGACAAAACAACTGGAGAGCTCTCTGAGGAACTGCTAACTGATGAGTGATTTATTATCTTAGTGTTTTTCTTGTTATTCTCTTACCTCAAAGTCAATTACCACGGGATTGTCCTTTGTTGATTCCAGCCAGTTTGTGAACACTGTGTGTCCTGGAAAAGCCCCCTTTTTCTCCCAGGCCAGAGCTGCCGCGTACTCTGACCTGCCACCTTCTACCAGGGATACTGACCGTTCGGCTGACTCCAAAATGGAACCTGAAAGGGGATTTCATCACAGTATTGTCAGACAAAGGCCTCCAAAGACAGTAGATGTAACAACAGAGTTCTAATGCAAAATGTAAGAGGATATAAAAGAATAAACTAAGATTAATTTTTTGAATCTGCCCTTGGGAGAATGAAGTCTAAGCTCAGAAAAACAATCCCTGCTATGACAGCAGCCTGTCATAGTCTTCCAAATGAAAGTGTCTGAGACCTCAGCCATGGAGATTTTCAGAACTACACAAGACACTTGTGGAAAATGCAGGGGATACAGTAGGTTCCTCTAGAGGAACACACTTCCTTCTAGAGGAACACACACTCTTAGTCTATAAACACCTGAGTGTCTGAAATTGATCATAAAATGAGGACAAAAACATGCCGAAGGTGATGTAATCCCTGGTTTTAGTGATGCGGAACACGATTCTTGTCATTCTTGCAGAAAATGCACCAACTTCATCCAGTTGCCGAGACACATTTCTGGCATTTCCAGGGAAGTCCTGCACTCAGATGTATGTTTGGCATGAGGAAGATGGGAGGGGAAGGTCAGGGAATTTGTTGTTGCTGCCCAACTCTCTCAATGAGTCCTGAGCATCCCTTAAATAAGATCAAGGACTCAGACATGATCACAGGTTTCTAGTGCCCATTTTCCAGTTTGGCATCCTTGGCCCTGGACTCAGGGCCACAGGGAATATTTGCCAGATCCATGATTATCTGGAAGAGCCAGTGCAAACGGATCCCCAATGATGGTGCGCCAGAGCAGAGGAGCGGCACTCCTACATCATCATTTCTTTTGCAAGTAAGAGGATGTTTCCAGTGCTTTCTTCAGAGACAAATAGTGAAACACTGGCTCTACTGACAGTGGTGGAAGAACACCTGTAGTTCAGCAAAGCTGGGAGTTCACCTGGGGTACCTAGCTGAAGGGAATGGTATCTCTCAGGGTAAATAACAGGACATGGGCCCTGTCCTCATCATGGTCACCTTCATGTTTCACAGTCATCCTGTTTGTGGTGCATCTGGTACTGACTTTCTTTTTCTTCCTGAAGAACACGCGCCTTGTTGTTTCTGTTCGGACACACTCCATTGATTCATCCACTGCCAGGCCTAGAAATACCACAGACTTCATCACCATAACCGTGTTACATGACAGCACCATGCCCCCAGGATTCCACATTGAGGTGAGCCAACACAGGTCTCCCTGGTCCTCAACCACCACTGGAGACTTCACTACTGGAGGTACCTGCTTCCCCAGGTACAAACAGCATTGGACTGAGTCATGCTTACCACCCCCTTTAGGTACCCTTCCATATCCATGTAAGATACACCAGTGGCATTAAGGATCACAGCTTTTAACCTTAGACTTCTACTTTTGTGCTATTGTCTTTTCATTTTGACAATCTGACAGTCACAGGAATATTTTTAGAGTAATTTCTAATCAAAATCAACAACTTTAATGATTGTTTCCTAAAAAGTACCACTTACGCCTCTGACATCAGTCCCACATTGAAGTATAATGGAACACCCTTTCCCAGTGGTACCTGATCTTTATCTGAAGGTCTTAAGAGGTTTCCCTGAACACAATGATGTTTAGAAAGTAATGAACCTGTTGAACTTTTCAAATTAAGACAGTGTAGAACTAAAATTTCCTCTTGCTCTATATTTAGGCAGTGTAAGTATTTGCTTGGTCTACACAATTCTAAAGGATTTTTTGCTGTTGGAAAGCTTACAGTGTGGTGTAATACCTTAAAACAGGGATAAGAAAAACTGGTAAACAAATAATATTTTCTAGTTAAATATTACATACCTGAGTTCTTCAATTCCTCAGAGCTGTATTGGTAAAGAATGTCATAGGAACCACCCATCTTCCCAGATGTGTAGTAGTGAGTACCAAAGTCATCAAATATTCTGCTGTATAAAATGTAGTTGTACTCCAGGGGCAGGTGGTTAAGTGCTTTTAGAAAGACATCTGAGAGCTGCAGATCTGACTGTTTCATTGTGAAATTTGCAACAGAAATGACTTTATGGACTCTAATAAAGTTGGAATTCTAGAATTAAGAAAAGGGAAGTCTTAGTACCTTCACAGGTAGTTAATTGCAGAAAGTAGAGGAGCCAAGAGTGTGTCCTGAGATACACTGCAAGAACTAATTAATCCTGCTGTGTATCATGATACTTTAACCATGAACACACTAGCCCTGGAGTTTCTGAGAGCCCTTTGAGGTTCTTGAGGACAATGCTCATTCCTCCTTTATATTGTGGGAGTATATGGCATTCCAACAAAAATTAGGACTCCCTGATCACCAGCCAAACAGAAAGCAAAAGGATTCCTGCCATAGCAAATACACCAGTAATTGATAAGTCAACCAAAAGGTTCAGACGAAAGACTTCAACTTATAAGCATCAACGGTCATTTGCAACTAATCTAGGGAGTGGGTATTTTGGATACTTATTCACGATTATGAAGTTATACAATTTATCAGTAAGCTAAATATAAAAATAAACCACAGGAATAAAGATCTCATTGAGTTCAAGTATCAGGCTGTTAATGTGAGAGGCAAAAATAAAATAAAAAAAAGTTCAAAAACTGGACAGATCTCTTACATTTAGAAAAAAACGATGGTTTTGAAACCACTAATTCATATATTTTTGAAATGCTAGAGACTGTTTATGTGGGAGTTTAACTAAACAAAAAGGAGAGGAATGAGGAATAGAAAATACCGAAAGTAGGGATTTATAAAGTGACAAGGGGAACTGATGACACAAGACCAAAGCAAATAGATCGAGAACAAAAGGAGGGGCAGCAAACTGGAGCAAGTGACCAACCAGCAGGTAGGAAAGATTCATTACAAAACAATTTGTTACTGATTTATACATTGGTTCTTCTGCTGAATTTTGCTGCTTGCAAGTTGGCTCTGCTCCACTTCTTTCTCCAGGGTCATTTGGCTTAGAAGACATAAAGATTAATTCAGAAAAGGAGTTTTCCCAGCCAGGACTGAGGAAAGTAAGGTGTGAGCTGGACCTCAGCTCTCAGTTCTACACAGCACTGCTCATTTCAGTGTTTTTATTTCTTCATTGTAAAATAAGCTAAGGATACTCAGCTTTCTGCTGCAGTGAGAATAAGAATGAAATCAATAGGGTATGTAGCAATTCCCAGATTATATTTGGCTCCTAAAATACCCTGTGGTAACATACTTTTTAGGATTTTCAGGTGATTTAGGTTCTGATCCTCAATTTTCAGCTAACATTTCAGTTTTGACACACAAAATTGCAGGACACTTCAGCAAATTTTGGTTCTAAAACCTTAGTTGTTTTTAGCATGCATTCAGATGCTTAATATGAATTTCTGCTTGACATGCATCTTGCATTTGTACTTTCTGCTAGTGAAAGTATCTTAAGTGATTTTATTACTAGCAACTAATTTCTTTTATTACTAATAATTTATGTTACAGTTGTCAAACCTGTATGTTAAAACCCTGAAGCAGACACAATATTGGAACCCCTCACTTGCAGAACAATCCCAGAAAACTGGATTCCAAAGTCTTCAGTCATTTCTGGGCACATGTTTAATTATAGTGATAAATCCCAGTGCCTGTAGCAAGCTTGACTCATAAGTACCAGATATTAATACAAAATATTAGTAGATCAGGAATGATTATTCCCAACGAAAGTCTGGTCTAAATCAAGTGTGAGTACTCAAGTTCAGTTTTGCTATACAAACTACTTCATTGGCAGAAACTAGCCAAACACAAGCTGAGCTGGAACGATGTTGAAACCAGTAGTTTTAATTGGAAATTTTAAAACAAAGCAAGGTTTCACCTGAACAAGCTGATTATCTTTCATTCCAAATATCATAAGTAAAATTGCTAGAGTCATGTCTGTCTCTGCCTGACATCGCCAGGGATGGAGATGGCTTCCTATTGTTGAGTTCTCAGTTTTTGAATTGTAATTAAAGCAGTCCAACTCAAGTAACTGCTGTCAGAAATACTAGGAACATGGGCTAGGGGAGTGGGAACAAACGCTGATGCAAAGCCTTCAGATGTCCTTTGATGTCACAGCATGGGAATTCAGTGACAAAAAAAAAAAAAAGAAAAAAAAAAGAAAAAATCACATATAAAACCAACAACATGGAGCAGGATGGGCAAGATTAGTATAGTAGTTTATAATGAAATGTGCTACATAATACTGAGTCCCACTTTAAGAACATTTCCTTATATTTAGTACAGAGAAGAGTGAGAGGTGGTCACATGGGCTCCCTCTACAGTCTTCCTAGGACTCTACTCAGTTAACAGAAATTTATGTAGAAACCCACCCAATTTCTCTTCATCAGTACAAAAGAATGGTGATTAGCTGAGATACAGGTCCCTGTGGAACTGCTGTTGCCTATGGATATGCAAGCTGAATCCAACCCTAAATGGTTATCATGATGCAATCAGTAGACATTGGGAAGGTCATGAGGATGATCTTTAAGGACATTTTCCACAGAGCACAAGAGCTGTCAATCCCCAGGTGTAAGAAATCAGGAAAGAAAGGCAAGAGACTGGCATGGCTGAGTCAAGACCTGCTGGTCAAACCAAAAGGCAAGAAGGAAATGCACGGGCAGTGGAAGCAGGGACAGATATCCTGGGAAGAGCATATGGATGTTGCCTGGTTGTGCAGAGATAGGGTAAGCAAGGCCAAGGCTTTGGCTTCCAGTGGGAGATGAACTTAGCAAGGGATGCAACGAATAATAACAAAGCCTTCTGTAGGCATGTTAGCCAGAAAAGGAAGGGCAAAGAAAACATACCCCTCCTCAGTGAACACGACTGAGAAACTGGTAACAATGGACAAGGAGAAGGCTGAGGCAGTCAGCACAATTTTGCCTTAGTCTTCACTGGCAATCTCTCCTCCCACACCTCTCGAGTGGATGGACCTTGAGCAGGGACTGGAGGAGCAAATTCCCTCCCACTGTAAGAGAAGATCAGTTTTGAGACCCCCTGAGGAACATGAACATATAGAAGTCTATAGGACCTGATGAGATGCATCCTAGAGTCCTGGGGGAATTAGCTGATGTAGCTGTCAAGCCACTCTTCAACATCTTTGAAAAGTCATGGCAGTCAGGTGAAGTCCCCAGTCGCTGGAAAAAGGGAAACATTGCACGCATTTTTACAAAAGGTAGAAAAGAGAACCCTGGAAACAACTGACCTGTCAGCCTCCCCTCTGCGCCTGGGAAAACCATGGGACAGATCCTCCTAGAAGCTATGTGCAGGCTCATGGAGGACAGGGAGTTGAACCGAGACAGCCTGCATGGCTTCACCAAGGCAAGTCCTGCCTGACCAACCTCATGGCCTTCTCTGATGGAGTGGCTACATCAGTGAACTAGGGAGGAGCTACAGATGCCATCTAGCTGGAATTGTGTAAGGCCTTTGACACAGTCCCCAACAACATCCTTCTCCTGGACAGTACTCTGAGCAACCTGACCTAATTGTAAATGGCCCTGCTCATTGCAGAGAGTTTGGACCAGATGACCTTTAAATGGCCTTTGCAACCCAAACTGTTCTGTGTTTCTATGATCCTATGATTAAAGGAAACCAAGAAGACATACTAGAGGACCAGTCAATTTAGCTACAAAAGTTTCTGGTAAACAAATATAAACTTAAAAAACATAAAGTTTTCATACTTCTTCCATGACAATATGGAAAAATGCATGATCTTCCAAGTGTGTAGGGCATTCTAGAGTTCCCAGGATGCTCATGTGAAACCCTTCAGCACACAGTTTAATGTATAGGTCTGAATCTGACCTCCCAAAGCCCAGGTAAGTTCCTTCTCCTTTTAAGTGATCTGTATAAACTTCTGTTTTCATTATTTAAGAAAGTATGGCAAATTCATTTATATGTTTCTCAAACATATGCGAGTATATATCTATCTACAAACACAAAATGTATACATATAGAAATAAAAGTAGAAGTTTGTTGTATGATACAGTAGAGAACATGAGGAAGACCCAAGTTGAAACTCCTGCTATGGATCCAGAAAGAAGGAATTTTATCCTGTATCATCTTTAGCCACCACAAGTCACTGTTTATTACAGGTAGGTTTCTGGGATTTCATTACAACAATGCTGAAAACCAATGTACATACAAAAAACCTTCCTCATGAAAGTTTAATTTAAATTAATATTTTTCTAAGTAGCTTTGGCCTGGGTTTAAGCCAATAAGAAGCCACCATTCCACCAAAATAAACTTACAAGTTGTACAAAAGAACCGCCTGATCTGTATACAGGTATCTACATGAGAATAAAAGCCAACAGGGAACGGCTGCAGCCGTGGGAGGGAATCCAGTCAGAGAAAGTTAGTGACCCATGACGGAGCAGTGTGGGGAACGCTGCGGCCCATGGGAGGAATTCATGTCGGAGAAAGTTTGTGGAGGACTGTCTCCTGTGAGAGGGGGACCACGATGGAGCAGGGGAACAAGTTCCAGAAGCTCTCACCACTGAAGTTGGAGGAAGTGGCAGCGCTGACTGCACCTCCCATTCCCTGCCCCTGCACCACTAGGGGAGGAGGTAGAGATATCGGGAGCAGAGCTGAGCCCGGGAAGAAGGGAGGGGTGGGGGGAAGATGTTCTCAAGATGTGGCAATGCTTTTCACTGTTCTACTCTGTTATGTGTTGTTAGTGTCTGTAATAAATGGCTGTTCTTTTTTCCTTCCCCTAAAGAGTCTGCCTTTTGCTCATGACCATAAAGGGTGTTTTTTTGACCATCCCAGTCCTCTCTTGAACCCCAAGCCTGACTCTCTGCCCCTTCCTATTGCCAGAAGAGAAGGGAGAGAGGGTGGCTGCGTGGTGGTTGGATGCCAACCAGGCTCAAACCATGACAACAGGTTTCTAGTAGCTCTAACTTCAAGATAGTTGAATTCAAACTAGAAGTAATAGACTTCTTAAGCAGTCAGGCTACTTAACCATTAGAACAAGTTAGCAACACCTGCAGTAAACTTCCATCATAGGATATCTTAATATTAAGAGTGATATTTTTGCAAAAGATTTATTATATTAGAACCCTTGGGTTTCAACAGGCCATAGTTTTGGTCAGTCCTATGTCCCCTTCCATGAAGAAGCACAAACAATAGACCATCCATTACTGCCAATAAACTATAAAAGTACATAATCTTTTATCCCACACTATTCATCTAGATTGAAGGTGCAGAATTTTATGTGGAAAAAGATTTTCTGTCCTCAGAAACTTTTCTGTGGATGTGCGCTTTCTGAAATTATCTTTATGACCAAGTGCATTTTGGCAGCCATGAGACTCCAATATGCAAATTAGTTACCAAATCAAAAACTAATGTAGAATAATTACCAGTACATGCATATTAATAACATTCCTGAATGCACTATATTTCTGTTCAGAATTGTCTTCTACTGTTACTACATGGCATTCTTCCTTCTTAATCTATAACTAGGACAGGGAAAGGAGTGGTTTACCCAATCAGATAATCTCAAATCTATGTCAAAACCATGCTTTTTTAAGTGGAATAAACCTATGATTTCTGTACTAAAACCAGAAAATCATGCTGCATTACAGAAGGTACATTACAACTAGGAACATCCTGTAGTATCAGAAGAGGAACTTTTAAATGTGTAATTCTAGTGGTTTTTTTTTTTTTTTTTAATGTAATGCCAATGCCTTGATAAGGAAAGTAACCTTTGGTATCTCAGTTCTGAAATGAGCATATAACAATCAAATGAAAGGAAGAAATTGGATTCAATGTTCAATTACCTTTTCATACGAGGCTTCAATGGCTTTCTTGAAGGAGGAAGATGATGTGACTTTAACCCGTGTCTTTCTTGAGAATAAAAATGGGATACCTTTTGATCTTTGAGCACCATGAGTGGACGAACTGCTTCCATGAGCACTATCACTCAGGGGAGTTAAATCATTGTAGAAATCTGATGTTACATCATCCTCTTCATCTATTACCTGGATATTCAGTAAAGCAAAATGCATTTGCTCAAATAATAATCTGAAACAGAAACCTATTAAGCAATGAATTCCTGATTTTTTAATGGAAGAAACATGACTGATTATATTGAACAGTAAGTGACAAAACTGTTCTTAACACAACAGATGAGGCTGAGAAAGGTTAATAGGCAAAATGAATACAAGATAAAAAGTAGACTTACTAAGAGGCATTTATAGAAAAAGAAGAAAACAAAAAGTAACACTTTCTTCTAAAATTCCCCAACCTCAATCCCAAAATTTAGGAATTATTTTCAACAGACATTTCAGTATACTTTTCAAATACTCTCAGACCTTCATGCTATGTCCACACTATGACTAAGTCCCAGTCCCATGTCTTCTATGTTTTGCAAGGCAGAGAGCTTGATGTTTTCTGTCCTTTTTTCTTAATTGCCAGATAGAGGAATGAACTGGCTTCCAGAGGAGAGTCTTAGAGTATACCTGCAGCGTTAGCACCCATACTGTATGATGGACTAAGGATAGGTGAAGAGGGTATGGGAGTAAATCTGCCTAATCAAGTTGATAAACCTCAGTGGTGATGTTGTGCAAAGCACCAAGACAAATTTATCATCAGTTCAGAAATTATTTATTTCCCAAACCAGGGAAATCCCTGTGGGTGTTCAAAAGATTCATTTTTTTCCCTCCTCTAGACTTGTTTAATTAATAGGGCTGCTAAGAACCTTGGGAGGTGAGTTCATCCATTCCCCTGATCCACTTCCATTCTCCAAGAAGTCATATGCTTTACCATGAAAACACACTGGAGTTCCCAGAAGAAAGCCTGATCCAGTGACCCTTCTATGCCAAGGGCTGCTTTAAATGTTAAAAGATATAGATGCACTCTCAAAAGTGAGATTCACAAACCCCTAATAGTTCTGCAAATGGACATCAGTAACTCAGTAAACCTTGCTGCTCTTCAGAGGGGCTGGGCAGGGAATGGGCAGGACTGAGGGGCTGAAATGGCTCAGGGAGGAACTGTGTCCCAAGACTGCAGGTGACTAGAAGGAAGCTGGAGCTAGGACAGCCATTGGTACTGTGAGGATATAGCAGCGACACTGAAACAAGCTTTGGATTTGGACAAGCCTCTGTCCAGATTATATCAGGGTTAGAAAGCTTGTGCTTAGTATTAGGTCAGAAGAAAAACATGGCCACAGCCGTGAGGAAGCAGGAGAGAAGCTCAAATCAATCATATTGACTCTGATAGATGATGCAGTGAGTAAACACAGATTTGAACAGCGTAAGTAAAGCCGCCTAACTCTACTGACAAACATTACTGCCTAAAACCTGAGTGCATAACTTTCATCGTGATTATGACAATGGTTTTTCAGCTGGGAGTTGCTGCTTAAGAATACCTGAAAGCTGACAGCCTCCAGGTTTGCCGGAACACGGTACAATTTCCTTGTCTCATTACGCTTCACTGTTGTGCATTGTCCTCCATTGAATGAGTTGCCAAGGACTTCCCCTCGGCTCTCTCCTGCCAGAATGTGAAATCTAACAAAAAATTATTTCCAGAGATTAAACAATCACAGAAACACATATAGACTTGAAACATTTAGTGGTATATAGCTGCATTGAATATTTTTTAGGTTTGAATGAAATGACATGAGCACCTGGGTTATGGTGCTGCTTTGAAAAAAGCTCCTCTACAAGAACTTCTCATTCACCCAGAATTCACATGAAAAATTCTGTAGTAGCAGTCCTGTTTCCTACTTTCCATCAGTGACTAACCCTCTAGATAAACGCAATGTCAACATGAAACAGTCACTCTTAAGCAGAGAAACACCTAAAAATGGCCTAGGAAAATGAACAAGCTGTTCTTTCTTTCTACCATAAGTGATGATACCAGCGTGCACTCAGTTCAAAATTCATTTAAAAAATGCAAGACTACCTGAGACAAGCATCCCACGTTTGGGTTTTACACCGCTTAAATTAGTAGCCTGCAAGAGGTGATGGTTGGTATCATGTGAACTGTATCATAGACAAACAAAGATCTGTAGATGAACATCCTCTAAATTTCTGATGCACTTGGCATAACTGAGCTGGAAGTTGCCAGTGCGTGTTGCTTGTGTTGCTCTGTGGCAGGAAGGGTCACTCAGCAGTGCTCCCTGACAGCTCTTTGTCTAGTGCACCAAAAGTGCAGAGCAGTACTGGCAGATGCAGTGGACAAGTTCTAGCCTGACATTGTGTTTAATTTTTATAATTTCTTGTTAATATTAATTTGAGAGTTCGTGTGTTTCAATGGGGTACTCTCACATGCTAATTGGGGATTATCTTGTTTATGTAAGTTAATGAGAAAACAATCTCAAATTGATCAAAAATAAGCAAAGCTGGCTTACCCACTGCCTATTAACTGCACACCTGGGATGCTCTCATACTTTCGGTTACACACAGCCTTTTTCCTCCCACATTTTCTTTCATCAGAGTTGTCCCCACAGTCGTTTTCTCCATTACATTCTAATTTTTTTGCAATACAGCGACCTGCACCAGAGAAACAGCAGCAGCAAGTCACTTTATGCAAAGATTCATCACATCTGAATGCAGAAAAGGGCAATCTGTCTTTCTGCCTAGTAAAAGTGTGAATTTGTCATAGGAATTATCCGTGAGGTAGTATAATGCCTGGATTATTCCAATAGGAAATGGTTGTTTCAGTTCTGCCAATTGTGCCTTGCTTTAAAGATGCAAAGGCTTAATTTAAGGTTTAGCAAAAGGATATGTGGATAAAGTTATTTTGAGGTTAATCAAGTATATTTAAATGGAAGCAAAGAAGAAATACCCACAAATTTAATAAAAATAGTGCGAGTTTATGTTCAGGCAAACTATGGATATGTTTGTACATGAAAAATTTGTTCAAAGAGTTATTATTGGAACAGTGCTGTTGTCAAGCTATCATGATCGTACTGACATCCCAGGCTAGATATTACATTTGAATTACTTTTAGTTACAGAAGAAACTGCAAACATAAGCTGCTACTAATACATGTGAAATCCTTATGTAGACTTCTGTCCCTGCTCTTTTTCCTAGAGTTTGTGCATGGAATATACGAGATCTGGCTCTTTTTCTCAGTGTCGAATCTTCTGACCATCTAATAATGCAGCAGTTATGCAATGAAGGTTATCATTACCACTTTCACACTGAAATTTATTCTTGCAATCAACTTCCACAATGTTGCAGAGCTTAGTTGGAAAGCATGGGCGGGAATCCACAAGTGGCTCAGTACAGGCCTGACCCCCAAATTGGGATGGTCGCAGGAGTCTCCGGACACGAAACTAAAAGGCAGAAGAAACAAAATGAAGGTTGTTGTTTGTGAGAGCGGTTTTTGTAGCTAAGTGCTCCCCAAGGCTACATGCCTCAGTGCCGCTGAAGCTTTATCAAAATCAGAGCCCTGAAGGAAATAATCAGTTATTTTTGTCCTTACATCCTTCCTACTGCGCCATCATCCCAGGTAAGGCAGGCAGGGAACTGAAATCCAAGGGCATCAATAGCCCTGATGGAGCATATATGCTTAAACACTTGACAACTTGGTCTACATCACTGGAGGAATCGAAAGTTCGGTCCCTGTATCTTCAGTTTGAAAGGTAGAGTAGGAAATGGTGTGTGAACAGACTTATGGAGACTTTTCCTGTTCTTTATGATCTCTGCTGAAATACACTGATGGTGGCATGTATCCCCATCCCCAAACCAGCTGGCTTGGCTCCCACAGATCAGGCCTCTTGTCTGAGGAGCACTGGATGTCTGGGGAGGACAAAAATGGTTTTCCTGCTACTAAAGATCTGGGACCAAAATCTGGAGCTCACTGGGTTTTTCTCTCCCCAAGTTAGTATCCTCCATACAGAATAACAAAGGTGAAGGCTGCTAGGCAAATCACGTCAGATATGTTTTCCACTATACTCACCAGGGATTGCTAGTGAGACCTTTCTGCATGTGACTGAATGGTTCCTATTCTAAGAATTTTTCCCCACTGGAAAAGCACAGTTCCTAGCAGGCTTCTGTTACTTCCCCCCCTCTAGACATACCCTGAAGTCAAACAATGCAGGAAGATAGCTAGTGAAAATCAGTAACTGAGTGACTATGAAGGGAGAGTGTGAGGAACAACACGAGACCATCTGAAAGCTTTTGAGCTCAAGACAGCCCTTCTTTGTACTCCATTTGGGATCCATAACACTCACTATATTGTTTGTGTGAGGTTCGACCTCTTCATTCTACCCTCTCACTGGAAGCTTGCTTACACTAGTCTTCACGCTTACCTTGGAAGTCACATCCTCCATTCTGATGGCTCTTTATATTTATAAAGGTCACAAGCAGTGATCTGTATAGCATATCTATGAAAAATGGATCGCAGTCCACAAAACCACCTTTTTGCTTGAAGCAGCAAATATGTTGCATCAATATTTAAAGTTAATAAAAATGAACAACGCTTCTATATAGGATATAGAAGGTAAAAATCTCTGACATTTAAGAGGATATTGATGACAAAAAAAAATCAGTTCAGCTGAAAACAGTGCCCCCTTTCAGCTCTTGCAGCTTGTTTGCTGTCTCCCACTCTCTCACTTTCTCCCTGCTCCTCTTTCATACTCTCCATCCCAGTTTCAGGATGAAACCACCACAGGGTGGTTCATATTTCACACCTTCCTCATACCTTCCTTATCCTGAATAGGCATCAGAAGTTTATACATATATGTAAAGATATACTTATGATATCAGACAGGTTTTTCAGGATTGCTTTTCAGGCATGGATTTCTGAAACTGAGCAGGATATTCAGAGAGTTGTAGGCTGTGTCTGCACAGAAACTCAGGGCTGCTATCATGGCTGGCTTCAAAGCTCAGACCTACCAGACAAATAACTACCTCAAACAATCTGTACTCAGCTCCCCTCTACTTGCCACAACTTTACATTTGCCAGGACTCGGTTCCTTTAGGTCAAATCCACTTGAACATGACTTTTCACCTCTACATTCTCTGCCATCTCACATCTAAGTCTACCATCAGTCAAAAGATACAAGCCCAAAAGCCAAAACCACAGTCCTGGAACCATGTTCCACAGATATTAAACACATCCACATGGATTTTGTGTAGGCTATAAAGATTGGCAGAAAGGTGCTCCGGTTTTCTTAACAGCTATCTCAAACTGATCCTGACTATCAGTGTAAGGTATAGCCTAAGCATTTCTAGAAAGTGCTCGTTAGGATTTGCTGGTTAACAATTTTTAACAGATTATTTGATCTTATTTTTCTTAAGAACATATAGAATGCTATGGATAAGCTAAAGTTTCAATTACTTTCTTCTGCTTAAACAGACATGCAAACTCTACAGCTTAATTTATCCTTAATGCAGAAAACTCATCTTTTATTGTGACAATGGAACTTTTAAGCAAGTTATCACAAATGGATTTATGTTACTAAATGACCCCTTTCCATTTTGCTCTGCTTATTTTAACTTGTTCTCTCCATCTTCTACTGTAATAATTAATAACAGATTTCCCTTGTTAACTTAAACTGTCATTTTTCAGATCCATTGCCATAAAGTTGAATGTGTGAAACAAAGAGATCTCTTAAGCATAATTTCTTGCATTTAATCCATATAATATTGTAGCTTGATCCTGGTCAGCAGCCAGCCACCCCATAGTCACTCACCCACCCTCCCCCCGACCCAGGAATGGGGGAGGGAATTGGAGGGGTAAAGGGAGACTTGCAGGTTGAGATAGAAACAGTTTAATAATGGTAATAAAGTGAAAACAATGACAGTAATAGAAAACATAAATGGGCAATGCACAATGTAATTGCTCACCACCCGCTAACCAATACCCAGCCCGTTCCCAGCTAGCGATCCCGAAATATCAAGATCCTGCAGTCACAGTCACAGAAGTGAGAGAGAGAGCGAGCCCCTTCCCAACCTCTTCTATATAGTGAGCGTGATGTTCCATGATATGGAATATTTCATTGGCCAGTTTGGGTCTGGTGCTGTGCCCGTGCTCCCTCCCTGCTTCTTGTGCACCTACACATGGGCAGGACATGGGGAGTCGAAGAGTCCCTGAAACCTCAGCAGCAACTGAAAACATCAGTGTGCTGTCAGCATTCTTCTCATACCAAACCCAATGCTGAATCTAAAACACAGCACTATTCTAGCCACCAAAAAGGAACATTAACTCTATTCCAGCCCAAACCAGGACATATACATTTTCTACCTACTTGTTTTTTAATGCATGGGTCACATTCTGACCAAGGGCCAAAGTCTCCAAGATGACAGTTGATAGGACATGTTTGCTGGTTACATGCACGAGATTCCTGCTTTGTGCACAGCTGGTCACAGAAGTTTTGGCTATAATACTCATCCATTCTTATTTGCCTAAAAAAATTTAACAAGTTATGCTAGGAAGGAATCATAGACAGATTGTAGATGTTCTCTAACCGTGGGTGAAGGCTGATAAAGTAAATTATTTGAGCTTAATGAAAAAAACTTGAGAGATAATAGGTAGTTGCAGAATGTTGTTTGAAAAAAAAAAATTCAAATATGCCTTAAGTTTACAGAACAATTCTTTTGATTCATGTAACTTCAAATGTCTCAGATAACAGCTACATAAAGAGCCAAGAGGAAAAGGGGGGATTTCTCACAAGTTCAGAGAATGTCACTGAATTGCAGTTAATTTGGTGATACTGAATCTTTATTTGACTTTAACTGTTGTCATAAAATTAATCATACAGGCAGGAACTTTCTGTAGGCTTGACACAGTTGAGCTCACCCCTCCCATGGCATCGCTCTGCACTGGGCAGAGTTCCCAGTTGGCACTGGCCCTGTGTGCTCACAGGGGCTGGTTGCTCAATGCATGCTGCTGGCAAGGTTGTCCCAGGACCTGGTTGTTCTCTCCTTACTACTTGTTTTGGCACATTAGGTTTGTCTGGAGACACCATAATGGTCTATATGCATAATTTCATAATTTTAAAATCTTACAATTAAAATATAATCTATTCATCTGATAGACTTGCATTTGACGATTTTTCTCAGCATATTATGGAAGCTGGAGCTTCATATGCAGGTTCCCCTCCTAGAAGTGGTATTTTCTCAGGGAATAAATAGCAACAGAAGTAGTGAAATAGTTTGGCCCTACCTGTGCCTGGTCTGTGTGCCGTAATTGCAGGTTTGTGAGCAGGCAGACCATGACCCCCATGGGTAATGTTCACAGTAGCATCCCTGGCTGCTGCCCATCGCCAGGCTCAACAGGATCAGGTGCATTAACATAGCCTTGTCTGTAGTGAAGGTGTCCGTCTACAGCACATGGACAGGTAACAAAAGCTCAAGAAACTATCACTTATAGTTGTGCCTGTATCCTTAGAGAGACAGCTCTTCTAATTTGCAGTCTACAAACCTGCTTCACAATACAAAGATGCTAAGGAGCATACCTAGAAAGGGGCAATAATGCATGATACACATCAATCAGTAATTTAGTTAATACTTTAAGGACCAGAAGTCACAATGGCTTTTTTGGTCATTTACTTATCAGGAGTACTAATCATGACTGCACATTATCTCTAGTTAGGAAGCTGCTTATAAATAATTTTGAATGTGACAGATAAAGATCTGCTATTGCTCTTCATTGTTTAGAATTATTCTCAAAAATATTTTCTAGGAATAAGAATAGAAGTGTGAGACAACTTTTCCTATAAAACATGTAAAACAACAAACAAAACCTTAAGAGTAAACATCGCTATCTATTAGCCTCTGATCAATTAATTTTCACACATCTATAGTCCCCCTTTGCATAAGCGTTTTGCTGCAGTGAATCCCTCTTTCAGCTTTTTGTAGTTCTTAGTTTTGACTAGACTGTCTAAACTGCAAACCATCAATATTCAAAGCTCATCTGAATTTTCTACCAACAGCAGAAGACAGAACAGCTAGCCTATCTCTCACTCCAGTGGTCAATCAAACTTTATTTGATGTGGCAGAAGGTTATAGTCATTCTTTAGGAAGTAATAATACTCAGTAAACTTGAAAAAACATTTTCCAGACAAACTATTTATCCATTGAAAAATGTAAAAGATTTTTTCCCCTCATCATGAGATTAAATCAACACTAAATTTGATAGGCTGTTTCAGTAGAATATTATTATTTTTTTTTGACTGAAAAAAACCAAAACCCAATAGGATGTTTTAAAAGCACAGTTTTTATTTTAAAGCAATACTCCGAAAGATTCCATTTTTAAAAGTTTGAAATGAAATATGCTATTGTTTTCTATTTTAGGTTTTTAGCTGCATATGCTGTAAAGATTTTTATACCTTGCTGAGAAAAATGAAATTGTGTCAAGTCAAAACATTGCTTCCTCTTTTAGTAAAGAAAGACAGTAAATCTTCACACAGCTTTCATAGTGAGAGCTCAGAGCACTTTTTACACAATAAATCATCAATGAACAAGGCTTTCAGATAGATTTAAGTATAATCAAACCAAAATATAGTAAAACTGAAGACAGAGAAATCAGCAGTCTTGCCAATGAACCAAGAAGAGAACAGGTATTACATCTTTTTTCTTACCTCAATTCCTGGCTCTTTGCACCAATGATGCTGGCTTAGAAAAGAGACAAAACCCTATAGAACAATTACTTTGTTCAGTCCTTCACTGTACTGTATGTAGAAAAACATTATTTATTCTCGCCTGTGAGCAAAACTCCAACCAACCGATACATCAGAAGCATATGAAAAGCCATAGGAATGTAAGTACACGAGAGATTAATTCAACACGTTAAAGAGGAAAAAAAAGCACAAAACACTTCCCTGTATGTCTTGTAACCTGTGCGCACTGAAGCCAACAAAAAACCCCATCCTTATTAACTTACTGTAAGACTGTTGTCTGCAAAGTCAGTCAACTTTGCAGACCGGTGTGTCCTTGGTGTGGTTTGATGCAGTCTCTTAAGTGCAAGGTTGGAGGTTTTGTTTGATTTGGTTATCCGTTAATGAAGGCAGACCTGGTCTGGTGGCAGGAATGGTTCAGAACAAAACAATGTCTCCACCAACACCCACAGAGACACATGTTATAGAGAATTGTGGAGGAACAGCTCTTTGTACAAAGGTAGCTGCTCAACATGAGCTGACAGGAATAAAAATACCTCTGTATTAGGTCATAATGGCTCAGTGCACTGCAGGTCTCCTTGTGCTGCCCAATAGATCTGCACAACTTCTCTGCTCTCAGTTTGAAGGCAAGAGAGTGAGAATATGGTAAAATGGCTGCTGCTCTTAATTAATTATTGCTTTCACTAGGAAACTGGAGACAGAGTCCGGGTCAGGGCAAAATACCTCTCTGCTGCTGCACCTTCTCTGCAAAAGTGTTGCTCCCGGAGAAAGCAAAAATCCAAATACATTTGAGGTTATTTACAGTGCTTTGCCTTTTATCCTCCACGGTGAGCTCCAGGCACACAGTGACCCTGGGGAAGTGCAGCCAGCAGACAAGAGTTGCTGAGAGCCTCTGCCCTGTAACACTGTCACCATCCCGAGACTGAGGTGCCAGGGCAGGAATTAAAGTGGAAAGCGAGAAAATATACCTGCGCAGAACTGAAACAGCAATGACAAGCACAAACCAAGGAAGTAGTTTGCCCTTAAAAAATAATCTAAGTCTGGAACAGAACCCAAAACCTCCCAGATACCCAGCATGCATCCCACCAATAAAGTAATGCTGCATTGAATCCCCTTTCACTCCAGCAGACTGGCAGAAATATGGAAAGATTTCAGAGTCCTCAAAACATATTTCCCAAGTTGTTGGGACCCAAGTTCATATATATTATTGAAAAAGGAAAACAACTCAGAACTTCCTGATGAATTTTCCAGTTGCTTTTGCAGTTTTTTTTTTTTTTTTAAATCTGAGTTTGGCCAGGGAAGTGTTTTTGTACAACTTGAGGACACAATTAGCAAACTGATATTCTGCCAGATCCCTATTACTTAGTGTAAACTTGTCATAAGAAGTCAAAATAGTCATCATTCTGATTCCATGATTACTGCTGTATTTGTAAAGTTATGTGAAAAATACTGGCCTCTACTTTTCAAAGAATATCTCCTAAACCTCAGCACTTCCAGCTCACTGAGGGAAGCCCCACCAGCCCCAGTGGGACCCCAAAAAAGAGATGCCTGGCTTCTCCCAGTCTTGTAGAAAGAAACCACAGCTGTGAGCTGCAAGTTGGTGTTTATAGTAGTATAATGCAGATGGCTAAAAGCTTCCAGCTGAGAAACTACTTTTACACTTTTTCTTAAAAGGAAAACAAGGAGTTACTAAAAAAAATTACAAATTTTAAAATTATTACAAGGAAAAGGTGCTTCACAGTCTACAAGCAATCTGTGCCATTCAAAATCAGAGAACAAGCTAGCAGACAAACATCACAGTTAGCATTGAGAGAAATGGCATTAGCGTACTTCACACCGAAGTCAGGGCTTGAGGGCAGCATGAGGAGAGCCATACTGAGTCCTTAGATGGGAGTTCATGTGAACTTAACTCAGTTGCCTGAAGCTGATGAGCCACAGCAGCAAAGAGCACTGCTTGGGCTAACTCACATTTTGGCAAAGCTGCATGCAACTGCTGATGTGCCCTAGGAGGTTGTCAGCTCATTTATTAGCAGGCAAGCTGATCAGAGAAATGAAGGGTCTGGGACCAGGACGACAAAGCTGGCAGTTATGAGAAAGGAGCTTTTCCCAAGTAAGGCAGCTCACCTTACGAAACTGCAGAACTGCTCTCCACATGTATGCCTCAGTTCCTCACAGGCTTTGTCTATAGGATATCCTGAGAGCAATCCCACTTCCTTCTGCCCTAGCTGGAGATCAGCACTTGCATATGAGCATCCTTCCCTTATACCATGGGGTGTTAGGGAATCTGAACAGCAGGCAATACCTTAGTGCTGACACTTCGCATCATGTTTGCCTTCTGTCCCCACAGTTAGCTGCTCACAAGGTTTCCTCATGACCTTTTAAAAGTATGAGAAATCAAATAAGTCTGCTTACAAGCACTTAGAAATTTAGTCAGCAATATGGCAGGTGATGGCTCATACAAACAAGAATGCCTTCTAGGACTGCTTTTCACATGGGAAAGCATCAGTGCTGAAAGTTTCACCTCCTCTGGACTGCAGTCCTGAAGGCTTTCACATCCATATGATGCTGTGTCTTACTGAGTCTCTGGTCTCAAGCTGTGGTGCAGTATTCCCCAAAGACCAAAGCACTCTCACTGGAATCAAATTTGGAATGACCCAGATAGGTCAGTGTATAGATGCATGCCATTTTAAAGCACTCAGACTTTGGGAATGCCTATGCACATATCCTTGGTCACAATTTCATTATTTCTACAAGAAATATTTATCCAGCAAAACAAACATAACATTCCTTCATCTCTGCTGCAATGTGTGTATAAAAGATCATTTTCCAAAGAATGGGGAAATGTTATCCCAAGGGGAGTGGAGAAATCCAGTGATTATTCTGCCTGAGATTGTAGCATTTATAGATGGGTTTCACAAGGCCACACCTCATCTATTTCATCCTGTATCTAATTTCTGACACTCAGAAAAAACATATTATCCTCCCAAGTCAATCACTAACCCCTCTCTGAGAGCAGCCTATCTTCTCATCCCAAAGCTATACTCAAGGGAGAAACTCCAGAACTGTAAAGGGGAAATTGCAGAAGGAAGGGGGCAAACACTACAACGCTATCTGGGAGGTAAGCAAAACAGAAGTCAAACAGTTCTTCAATTTAAGTGATATCCCTTGGTGCAGAAACAGGAAAAAACATTCATCCTGTCCCATAAAATTCACAACTGTGGACTGGTACCTCCTACCTCCAGTTCTCTGGATGATGAATAGCAAAAACTTACTCAACTGCACTCCTCATCTCACACAGATCTTGCAAACGTGGCTTCAGCTGTCTGCTCTCTGACAAAGTGGAGTTTTAAGACTGATACGATTCACTAGACATTTTTTTCCCCTCAAAATCTTCCTGAAAACAAAGTACTAGAGAAATCTCTCATCCTTACATGGCAGATGAAAATTTAATATCAGGCTGAACTGGAAGGAAAATACATTTTGCACTTAATTCAATAATTCAGTGAGGTATCTTTTTCCTCTTTAAAATTTTATCAACCTATATGCCCCTCATGAGAAGGGATATTGAAACAAAAAAATGAAGGCACCTTTAAGCACAAAAGGCCACCTGAATGGCTTCAGTACTGAGCTGTTTTGACATATCCTGTGGCAATGAGAAAAGTGAACCATAAAATATCTTATTTACTCTGTCCATCACCAGGCTGTCTGATGACAGTGGTGGTACTGCCCCCAGCATGGTACAGAGGTGGCGGCAGCCTTGCCTGCAGCCAGGCTCCTGTCGCTTGTGTTCTGCTTCACTGGGAAATCCACGCTGCTGCCTCTTCCCTGGCTGCCACCGCTGGTCTGAAGGAGGTGGGGAAGTGAAGAGCAGAGGCAAGGGCTCTGAGAAGAGGGGTTGTGTCAGCACAGAGGATGCTATGTAACAGCAGCGCCTGTGGAGAAAAACAATTTCTGTCCTAGGACTGTGTTAGCAGATTCAGATTTTACGTTGCAGGATTTGAAAGCTTTGAGTGGCAGCTGCCCTCCCCAGCTTCTTTGTCAAACAGCCATACATTCCCTCTCTTACACAGAATTTGCTGCTCCTTGACTTTAATTAACAATCTGGAAGTATTTGGTGCATCAGCAGTAGCCCAGGACTCAGGACTTTATCAAGGCAGGGGTTGGCACCAAGGTCACTCCAGGGCAGCAGCAAGGAAACCTGGCCACTGCTTCTGAAAATGTGTTCAGGTAGCTTTGCTCTGGATCGTGGCACAGTTCAGGGTGTTTAGCTCTGAAAAGCATATTCACTGCTTGCATCACCAGGAAGACCCAGCACAAGCCTTGTTTGCTGAGCTTTAGCCCTGTTTCTTGCACCCCATGGTAAAGAGTGGGCTGGAGACAAGGAGGGAACCCTCAGCTCAGCACCTTCTTTCGTTTCCATGCTTTCAGGCTACTCTTTTGTCACTTCTTCATTCCACAGATCACCTGGAAATTAAATTAAGACTTTTCACCTTTAGAAGCCACATTGAATTTCATCCACATTAACACCCAGTGACAGCTCTGATGGACTGACGCATGACCACAGGATTATCTGAGCACAAGGCCAGCACAGGCACATTCTCCCAAATCAGCAAAAGCACCCCTTCTGCCAGGGGCTGAAATGCTTAAAGTGGGTTTTATCTACCACACAGTGGAAAAACAAAATCCCAGTTTCTGTGCTTGTTATGGCACTTTACCATCAGAGAAGAGATAGAGAACCAACCATAAGCATTGCATACAGGCATCCACTCAGCACTCAGCCACCTCACCTCCTCATGAAGGGTGGATGGAAAGTTATCCACCACCTACACAACACCCTGCTTGCCAAAACAGCCACCAAGGAAGGAGAAAGCAGCATCTGAAGGAAGAGAACCTGAGCTGGCCCACCTCAGAAGAGTCGCACACCATCCGTTGTGTGAGCTGCAGCAGAGAGCACCAGGATCCCTCCTGCACCACAGCAGG